CCCCGGGACCCGTTTTAGCGGGGAATCCCCGTCCCCGTTCGGGTCGGGTGAACCGGGTTCCCCACCGGGTCGGGGCAAATCACCATCCCTACACACACATATATATAAAAGCAAATGATCGTGTGAGAAGAGAAGTTAAGGTGAGAAGCGTACAAAGAGATCTTGATTCTTGATCTCCTTTAATCCCAAACCTACCCATGAATTGCGATTGATACGAAGATTGATTCGGTACATCTCATCTTGGTGCATTTCATCCTAATGTGCATCTAAAAATGAAAATCTCTTCTTATGTTTCTCATCTTAACTCTCCTTCTCATCCAAAGGTGAAAATTCATTTGTTTAACTATACAAACTCTCTAGACCAATAGGAATCAATCTAGTTACATAGTTCATAGATTCCTATGTAATTAATGATTGAGGGCAAAATAGTAAGGTTATGTTTTGTATTACTTTAATACATTTAAATGGAAGTTACATTACTCCTTTAATTTAGCCATTTTGAAATTATCAATGTGTTGTAAGTTATATTGTTTGTAATTGTTCATAAACGAATGTATTTTGAGAAATAATCAATAACAATTCAACAGTCAATATTCTTAATTGAACGAGTTTGTTGTATTTAGTGTATCATATAATATGGAAGATCAATATGAACATATTAGCAGTTAACATGAATGAGCATGCACTCAATGTTTAATAATGAAACACTATTCACATTGACAATTTGTTCACTGATCAACACTATTCGCCAGTCACACATACATGCACATTCAGGTACGTATTCACTAATGAACATTTTCATATATGTTATATTTTTATTGGTGAACAATGTTGATAATCTACTTATATATAACAACTGTTCATTAATTCACATCATTCATAAATTACACATTACATATTAATAAATGAAGGAATAATTAAAGCTTGATGTCAGTTTCAAAACGATAGAGTAATTACCGGAAAAGTAATTAATGCTAAAATAAATCTCCCTATTTCTTTTCAAAATTATCCTTTGTTCATGATTGTTCACTTATGTTTATTAATCATCATTTTTTAATTTGTTACAAAAATGTCATGGTGAATTTTATCCATAGATTACAAAGATTAAAGGCTAGGATTCGTTCACAAATTTAACACCATATATTGGGTTAACAAATGAACTCATCTCTCTCTCTCTCTCTCTCTCTCTCTCTATATATATATATATATATACACACACACACACACACACACACATACACATTAACTGGAGTCGCAATGTTGATTATTCTGCGTAACTTTCTATGTAAATCAATATAAATCAGTTGGATTTTCATTACATCTCAAGTTAATGTTTTCCATCACCATTTTAAACTTTTAAGATTAAAACAAACTTTATCATAACCATCAACCTTAGAATTAAAAGCTCATGTTGGTTATAACTTGAGATTTATTCTTGTTTTGGAGATAAAAGAGTACTAAAAATTCATGCACTTAATATTAGGTCATAAAGAGTCAATAATGTATGAAAAAACAAGGGTAATTTTGAAATCCTAAATATAGATATAAGTTGGTCCGTCTCATATGGCTGGTAATTTTTTTCAAAAGGTAGAGTTTTCTTAGTTAATAACAAAAAGAATATGCCATATTCTAAATTTCTAATACAAAAATAAAATCCATGTAAATGGAATGATCAAAACAGTTGATGAGAGATAACGATGAAAAATATATCAATAAACAATACTATAAAATGACAATAAAAAACAATAAATAATATTATAAATGAACGACTAATTAACCTGTTTTAGTTTTTACATAAACATAGTTACAAAAGGAATATGAACTTTCTAAAGTGTAAAAAGTAAAAGGAAAACTAGAAACATAATAAATAATCAATAATGTATTAAATATTTATCAATTAATTAACTATTAAAGTTGAGTTTCGGTGAGAATGGAAGTTATAGTGAGAAGCGTAAGAAGAGATCTCCACCATTGGATCAATCCTAATCGAATGTCAACACGAGGTGTACCGAGATGCACCAGATCAATTTTCTTCTAAAGCACAATTCATGGATGGACATGAGATTAAAAGAGATCAAGAGTTCAGATCTTTTCTTACGCTTCTCACAATAACTTTTCTTCTCACACGATCCTTCGCCTTGATGTTGGAGTAAAATGGAGAACGAAATCTTGTTCTCTCTTTGCCTCTTAGTTGTTCCATTAAGAGGAAACCTTTGATCGTAAAGAGGTGAATGGTATTTATATGTTTAATTGCTTATAAAGTTAGGGTTTTTATATACAATAATGCCAATCTATTAACTTGTTTTGTTATTCCCTAGAATTTTTCAGACTTAGGGGCTGTTTGTTTACCTATAAATAGTTCAATTAAGAGAAAACTTCTGAATCACTAAGAGGTGAACCTTGTTTGGCAAAAAAAAAAGAAAAAAATCTGCCTCTTAATGCTTCTAAAACCCTTTGAATGATTTTGTATCATGAGCTTCACTTAACCATTCAGCACCCTAATTCCACTGTAAACAATTACCGAACAATTATATTTCATTTTACACTATATCATGAGAGTCTTCTAATCATTTTGACCACTTAATCATTCTACACAAAACCATTCAGCAACTACCAAAAAACCTCTTAATAGTATTGGTGCTCCATAACATAGCTTTTATTAGCTATGAAAATTGATTTGAACGGTTTTCACTCGAAAACCATTTGAAAGATTTTTTTTGGGGTATCACATTAATCAAAGAGATCAAATAAGGAAGGTGGAAGTGTTTGATCAGAGGACTTTGTCAGTCACATAATCATGACTTTCCAAGGAAAAATATTTCACCAAGGTTCGGCCCCAGTCATCAAAGTTCCTAGATTCGTCAGTATTTATAGGATTACATACTTTTTAACAGTATTATTATAAAACATGTGTCGTGGATATATAATAACTTACATTTTCATTGTAGAGAAAGGGAGTAACAGATCTCAAACTATAACCAACATAGACTTTTGATTTTAAAACTGATGGTTCCAAAAAAGTTTGTTCTAACCTTAAAAGTTTAAAACAACAATTAACATGAGGTGTGAAGAAAACCTAACTGATTTATATTGATTTACATAGAGTGTACTCCGAATAGTGTAACTCCAAATTATGTCAATTTATGAATTAAAAGTATATCCTAGAATGTGTTTGATAATTGAACAGATTTGACGATGCTATTTAAAAATGATGTTGTCTATAATATTAATTTAAAAACAGTTATTGGTTGATTTTGTATTTAATAATACTTAGAAAACAATTTTTGTAAATTGCTAGTATTTTTTTAACTCAATATTATTTCTGATAATAAAAACAATATATGATTTTTTTACACTTATCGGTGATTTTTTTATATTTCGTCCAAGGGGTTGTTAGTTTACTTCTTAATAGTTTCATTAAGAGACAACCTCTGAATCGTTAAGAGGTAAATCTTGTTTGGCGAAAAAATCTGTCTCTTAATGGCTCTGGAACCCTCTGAATGGTATTGTATCCCGAGGCTCTCTTAACCATTCAACGCCCTAATTTTAGGGGTGTTCGCGGTCCGGACCACTCAGACCACAAAGCAAACTGTAATGGCGGTTTATAAAATTTTCAAACTGAGCGGTTTGACATTAAGTGTCCAGACCGGTCAAACCAGACCATGAAAAGGCGGTCTGGTCTGACCGGTTTGGTCCTTTAATGGACTTTAAATATTAAACTTAAAAAAACATATATAATTTATAATTTTAGATTAAATACCATTTTGATTATGTTAGATGTTAGAGTTTATATTGGGTTTAGGGATATATTTGAAACATAACCCATAAGTTAAAAAGGTTGGACTTGCTAATATTAAAATAAATAATTAAATTATATATATATACACATACATATATATATTTGGTGGTCGGTTTGGTACAAACCGCTTAAAAAAGGTTCCAGACCGTAGACCGGACCGTCCAGTTTTACTATTTTTCAAACCAAACCAAATCGTCAAACCGTTCAAACCGCAAAAAACGGTCCAGTTTGACTTGGTTCGGCCGGTTTAAACGGTCCAACGGTTTTTTTAAACATCCTTACCTAATTTCATTGTAAACAATTATATTTCATTTTACTGCAAGCTGATCGGCCAAGGAAGAAGCTACGCTTAACCTTATTCTGCCGTTAAGAAACCAGACGTTTCTAGAAGAATACAATTATCTTTTAAGCGGAAAATACCACCACCATAAAGCACAGATTTTCCATATAAATAGGGAGGGATGTATGCACCGTTTCAGGGTTCCTGATATACGTATTCTCTCTCTATCGCACCCCCATTTCTCTCTCCAGAATTCTCAACATGCCTCGCAGAAGCTCTGGTGGTAAGTTTTTCTTTCTATGATTTTGGAGGAATTGCTTTTCGATTGTTTATTGCTTCAATAATTTTTGATCTGTTTGGAAGCTCATCTACCGTCGAGATTTCATTCTTAGGGTTTTTTTTGCATTCGTTACATTTCCCTCGACTGTTGGAATGATTAATTTAGGAATATAACTGTAATTTTATGCTGATTGATCGTATTGAAACTTAGTTTGTGTATCCATATGATGTGATTGGGAATTTATGAACTTAAATTTGGAAATGGTTACGAGGGACCCTCATGGGCTTCTTGTTGGACGAGTCATTTAGTGAGATAGACGAAGCATGCTTATGCCCCATTATGCGGTATTTTCGACATGGTTAAAAATCGGGTTTTTTCTGTTGTTTTGGAACAATATGTGAACGGCTATCAGCAGCAATCGTTACAAAAGTAGCTGAGCCTGATCTTTGTTATTCCATATGGGTTCCCCTTTGGTGGATTTTTCGCAGTACCTTGCAAACCTGCCTTAACAGTAAAACCAAAACAGTAAAATGAAATGCAAATAATTTACCTCTCAAAAGCACTAGCCAAAGGAGTTGTCTAGACTTTGAAAAGTAGAGGGGCTTTCATTGCTGAGAAATACAGTATGAGATGGGGAGAGAGAGCACACGAGGGAGAAGGATAGGGGCCGAGGAGAGTGCCTATGGGAGGAGAGGAGAGAAAGAGAAGTATTTTTAGGGTTTAAATTATTTTTAACCTGATAAAAATCCCCAACTGTGCCTCATATGCATCTGGTACTCCCCACCTAAGAATCGTGTGCCTCAAATGTGCCACAGCCATGTGAGGCATATTTCAGTCTCAATGTCAACAGCAGAGGCGTAGCCTCAGAATTGGGTTTGGGCCACACTTGACTGTTTTTAAAACCATGCTAGGGCAACATTAGGAGTTCATTCCTTTGTGTGTGATATTAGTAGCTTGTCTTTGCTTCTCTAAGGGTGGTGGCTGTGTGTCTGCAATAAGTTTTATAACGTCACTTATTAGCCTGGAATACTGTTCAACTCTGGCAAGGATCCCTGAATCTAAGGTTAACTCAAGCAGTTGGCCAAAGTTTCTTCTATAGCTGGGACAAATGCTGGCTTGTGTTTGTAATTGTTTGTGGGTTTATTTGCGTTTGCGAAGCCTTTATTTGGTAGTTGTAGTTTCAGAATGTATCAAGTTAGTCTAATGTATTTCTGGACTTCAAAAATTAGACCTTTGTTTACAAATAGAGGGACTAGTTTGTTAGGAATGCAGGAAAACTAGATATGCATGTAATCATGAGTTATGCATGATGAGGGACTTGTAATGTTTTGACTTTTGAAGGCATGATATTTTGCTATGTTTTGAGCTGTTTGTAACGGACCTTGAGACTTTTTGTGTCCATGGCTTTTGATGCTAATAGAATATATCTTGCTTATCTTGCAGGAAGGTCAGCTCGGGCACCTGCTCGTGCTCCAGCACGTAATCCCCCGGCACCAGGCAAGGCTTAGAGCCATTTGAACTCAAAAGAACATTCATTTAGGTCCTTGACATCTCATATTGACAATTTTTTCTTTTGCAGCAAGCCGTGCACCCCCTCCTGCCCCTGTGCAGAGCAGTGGCGGGTCGATGCTTGGAGGCATTGGTTCAACTATAGCCCAAGGTATATAAAAATGAGTGCACATATACGAAACTAATCAGTCATTAAATCTTTATATCATGTTTATTCTTTGAAACAATATATCTTTGTATCCTTGTATAGGCATGGCATTTGGTACTGGAAGTGCTGTTGCTCACAGAGCTGTGGATGCTGTGATGGGTCCTCGCACAATTCAGCATGAAACTGTTGGTGCTGCTGCTACAGATGCTGCTGCAAATAACCCTGTTTCTGATGCTTGTGGCATGCACTCAAAGGCATTCCAAGATGTATGCCCTCCTTTTTACGCATATGTGTCTCTTTGTTGTCTTTTATGTTTGATAAGTAACTTTTGATCATTTCACATTACTTGTGTCGAGTGGGCAAGGAGTAAACTCAAATCGCTCAAGTAAAGCATGGTTTGGTTCATTAGTGTATAAAAACATGGGGAAGCACATTTAGGATTGTGGTAATGCTCACATTGGTTATGCATGTATGCAGTGCCTTAACAGCTCTGGAAACGACATCGGAAAGTGCCAGTTCTACATGGATATGCTGTCGGAATGCAGAAGGAATTCGGGTATGACCGCTTGAAGCAGGCGAGCATCATATTCATCATCATCTGTTGGATGCTATCAATCATTTGAAGTAGAAATAGTTTGTGTTAAATAAATTGCCCACCAGGATTTTGTATCATCATGTGTTTGCTTGATGATCAAATGAACAAGCATGCATTGTTGTCAGTTGGAGATGAAGATTTTTACATCTAATTAATAGCATGCATTCTGTTCCTTCTTTTCTTCAACAATACTAATTCCCAATTGATGAGGGAGGATCTTGTATTACACAACAAACAAACGAATTTATAAATGTGGTTTGTTGATATATAGGGTATATTTTAAATATAACCATGTTCATTTGTACAACTAATGTAACCCAATTAATTGAGATATTTATAGAAATGATGAGAGTTCATTTATTATGATTTGAATATTTATGGAAATTTCTATAGTAGGAAATTTCTTTGAAGTGGTTTAATCTTGATAGAGCAAAGTCGGCGTATGCTACTTTTGAGGAATCTCTAAGAAGAGAATAAACTTATCCCCCGCAGATGGGTAGAAAATATAAAAAGGACCCTGATCTCCTAAAACCTGTTAGAATCACTTGTCGATTGAACTGTATCAATATCCTTTTGTCAAGAGCATATGAAACAAAAAAAAAATTTCCACCATTATTTTAACTAACCTTGCCTAGAGGAAAAATTATTTGCAAATTACTTATACATACTGTATAGATGAATGAGTTACTATGATGTTTCTCAGTTTTTCATTGGTTTTCCCCTAAACCTGACTCTGATCATCTGTAAAGTTCAAAAAAAGCTAACAAAATGATGATATTGACCCAACTCAATGTCTGAACCAATCTCTTGTTTGTTTTTTCATTTTCAGCTTTAATTATCACTTATGTCTGATTCGTTTTATAATTCTATTGTTTGTTTTTTTATTATTTTCAGAGACTCTTATCACTTAATAATGTTTAAATAAATAAGATGTAAATTAATATTTTAATTCCTTTTTTCTTTGATTCTCTTTGGTTGTTGCTTCTTTCTCCACCAGAGACGCCACCGTTCTTTCATCACCCATATGAAATGCACTCCCCCACCCCCCCCCCCCCCTCTCTCTCTCTCTATATATATATATAGGAACCTAATCAAATGATAACTAATTAGTTTATGGTAACCGTAAAATCCAATATAGATAAATTAGGAAATTTATAATTTTGGTAATTTTTAATTAAAATTTTAATGCGGGGACATGTTAGGTATTTTATTTCCTCTCTCCTATCTTCTCTCTCCGTCTCCCGGCTTCCGGCCACCGTCCTCCGGTGATACCATAGTGGTATCACAATGTATCTTATATGTGATTGAGTATCACACTGAGGTCGTTTGTGTGGTCGATTGGATATGTAACACAGTGATATCACAATGCATCTTATATGTGCTTGAGTATCACACTGTGGTATCACCAGAGGAAGGTGGCCGGAGGCCGGAAGACGGGGACATAGAGAGAAAAGAGGAGAGAAAATACCTAAAATGTCCTTGCATTAAAGTTTTAATTAAAAATTACTAAAATTATAAATTTCCTAATTTATCTATTGATTTGTGGTTGAGATTGGATCTCACGGTTACCACAAACTACTCAATTCTCCCTTGAATGAGCCCATATATATATATATATATACAATTTCTATACATATAGGTTGGCTTAGAAGATTAATATGAAACAAGAAATTTTATCGGCGATCTATCATCTATCAAAAAATCTTTCCGCAAACAAACTCACCGGCGACACTCCCGATGGCATCAGAAGTCTGAAAGGTATCCAAATGGTTCTTACTGTGTTCCATCCGCTAAGCAATTGTTGAGATGAATTTCAGGAATGGAAAATTTATGAAAATCAAGAGAATTTTGCAAAATATTTGCACCTAATTTTACAAAAAACAAACTATCGATTTAAATTTAAGATGTTTGTCAGTTTATAAAAACAAACAATCTTATTAATTCATATTTCAAAAACTTCAACACCACCTCTTATTAATCAGAAGTGAAATAAGACTTCACACTTCAACACCTCTTAAAAAAACAAACGCTACCTTATACTCCCTAATCAATCTATGTAATTGGAATTTCGAAACCTAATTAATTAAAGCATTTTTTTTTTATTAACTTGGATATCCAACCCGCTATGCGAGCCGACTAATCTCAGGACGACCACCTGATTTGCAGATAGCCCAGAGTCATCACATTTTTCTTTATCATCATTGAGAAAGCTTAATAATTTGAAAAAAGAAGTTGACTCAAACAAACTATTCCACATGTACTAAAGAAAAGTTGGGCAACTGACTCCAATACTTTCTGATGCTCCCTTGCATAAATATATCCATGGTTGGTGCATGTAATTAACATATAAAACAAGGGATGTGATTCACATTCAGGTTTATTTAACATTCACCTATCAACACTTCTGGGAAGTTGGCATTGCAAGAGAAACTCCAGATCCACCTGGTAAATCCTTCCATTGTTGAGTCACAGTCTTGATCTGGGTATAGAAGTTAACCCCGGCCTTCCCTGCAAATTCACGACGATTCCTTTCTTACCCTATTTTTTTCGACTAACTGCTACATTGATTTATTAGTATAACAACGTACCGTAGAAATTGAGATCACCCGCAAAAGATGCCTTTGAGCCCGTGAACGAGAAAAATGGTAACGGAACCGGTATTGGAACATTTATGCCAACCTGACCAAGAATGCCAACGTTCACTTAATCTTTTTACTCTCCGAGAAAAAAACATCTCTATTTAGTAGTTTGTTCAAGTGAATGGGTTGTAGCATTTGTGACTAACCTGCCCGGCTTCAATGTCGGTTTGAAATTTTCTAGCAGCCACACCGGATGATGTGAAAATAGCCGCTCCATTGCCATATCTGCAGAAAAAGCTTCTTTTTAATACTGAAACAAACAGATACAAGTTCTTTCGATGTTAAGACTAGTTTTTTTTCTGGAGAAATTACTTATTTCTGTTGACAATATTTATGGCCTCTTCCAAGCTGTCGGCCTGAAAATAAGGTGCAACCAGAAGATCAACCCTTAATTCCCCGAAAAGACGAGAACGAATGTAATCAATTATATCAAGTATAAGGTATTAACAGACCTGCATGCAAAGAAGAACTGGACCAAATATCTCTTCCTGAAGAAAGATACAGGTTAAAAATGTAAAACATAATCCAACTGTCGAGTTTTGTTTCCGTTTTTCCTTTGGATTGGAACCATAAATAGTTGAACCATGAGATTATGGAAAAAAGCATACTTTGTAACATTCCATATCTTCGGTGACACCAGATAAGATTGTAGGCCCAACAAAGTTTCCTTGTTCATATCCTGGAACCTAATCAACATTGATGCAGGAAGTAGGTAAGTTTAGCTCCACTAATTTTGAAATTTGCAACAAGTTCTGACCAAGAAAGGACTTGGTGAATGCATATAGTAACAGAATTGGCATCACTAAGGGTACGTTTGGTGGCAAAAGGGACTGGACCGGTGAGAGTGGAGTAGGCAGGTCAAAGACTTGTCCCATGTCCCTGCTTTTTCTTCCTGCCTATTTTGGTGGGACAGAAAAATTGCATTTTTGTCCCACTCAGGTCCTGTCTTGTCCAGTTTAATAGCGTGCTAAACGTGGGACAAGTTTTTGTAGTCTTTGTCCCGTTCTGTCCAATGTACCAAACGCGCCCTAAATAACCGAACAGCAATGAACTTTTCTTAGAGTTTCATTACCCCCCTATAGAGGCATTTTCATAGCATGATAATGAAATATGAAGCATGCCTCTGCGACATAGAAATGTTGTGGTACAGAATGTGAGTTATAACACTATAAAAAAAGAAAAGAGAACACAAATCAGGAGGGAACATAATGCTACTCTTGTATGCAATGATGGCCATAGAGTAAGAGTTAGCATGGTCTACCCACATGAGTTCAATGAAATTTTAGACAACTGGCACTTGTCAATAAGCCAAATTGGAAAAAATCAAACAAAAACAACAAATATGCTAATTTGAAACATCAAGCCAGCAATAACTGAATGAGACAAAATGTCATGGAAATGGAAATATACCACAATATCTCTTCCATCAAGCAGTAGTCTAGCACCACTTTCAACTCCACTCTGGATCAATCTGCAGACTCGGTCTTTTGCCTGGTGAACATGCAAACAGTTAGAAGTAGACTTGGTTGACAAATAGTTGCCATTAGGTAGTGGTCACCTTTTTTTTTAATAACAACATAAAGAATACTTGCCTGCTTGCTAATTACTGGACCTAGGTCTGCATCAGGTTCTGTTCCTGCATTTACTTTTAATGTCTTGGCACGCTTCACTAACTCATTTTCCCTGAGATATAATTAGGACAATCAGAACAAAATTTACCTGTTTATATATGAATATTCCAGCTCAGTAACAAATGCATTTTCGAGCTCTTCATATTATCAAGTACATAAAGCTGTAACGTGTAATCCAATGCTTTAGCAAATACACAGTTCAAAGGTTTTTCATCTTTTGCCCCAATCAGATCGTAAAGTTCCAACTAAGATCTTCAAATAAGTGAGTTTTAAATTTTAATTTCATAAAGAGAACAGGAAACTGATTCAATCAAACATTGAGCAATACTAATATATTGTCAACTTCACAGTTGCTAAATTAAGAGACCCAATGCAAAGCAACAGTAAAAAAAAACTTGTGCCACTGCCATATTTATGAATATCATAGTGAGAATTGGGTTTTAATAGCTGCTTTTCTTTAGCCTAGGAACAAAGAAAGTGTATCTTCTCATATGAAATATTTGCAGGGTTTAACCAATGCATTGTGAACTGCCTGCATTATGGAACAAATAGTAATTCCTTTAGCAACTTCTCTTTTGGTCATTTAAAAAGGAGTTACAGAGTCGAGTCTACACTTTCAGTGACTTTCACGAGCGGTGTCCCCTTCTATGGCATGGACTTTCTTGTTAATACTTGATTCTTCTTAATTTATTGCTCTCTTTACAGTTATTTACATCCCTTTATGCCATATGAAAGACCCAGAGCACCACCAATTTTGTGATTGTGGAACATAGACTTACCATAAGCAAAAAAGGGTGGTAATTATAGTTACCAATAAAAGGCAAAGAAGTAGAATAAGAATACCATTCTTTTGGATCTCCAACAAAGACGACCGTGCTCAAAGCCATGCACCTCTGCCCTGCAGCTCCAAACCCAGCAGCAACTAAAGCATTCAAAGTAGCATCAGTGCTTGCATCAGGCATGACGATACCATGATTTTTAGCACCCATATTGGACTGCAAGGATTGGTATAAGCTATCATTACCCACAAACTTCAAGCGGAATTGGCTATAAAGTCACACCAGTTAGAAAAAAATGATCATCACCGAAACAGATGACCAAATTTTACCTGAACACGTTTCCCTTTCGCTGATGCTCTTGAATATATATGCATGCCAGCCTTCAAGCATCCAGAATGGTACAAAGTAAATGGAAATCAGTAGCTAATATCATCATCAAAAAAGGTAATATAAAAGGATGCAACTTAGCACACTCGAACGTCAAACAAATAGTTATCATACAGGAATTGTTGAGCACAATGACCAGGGCCAGTTGCAACATTGATATTGCGATCATGCTTCACATATTATTGAGAAAGTGACGAATCCAAAACAATTCAAGTATATAACTACAGGATCAGAGGAAAGTTCAGTTTTCATGAGGAAGGAAAGTTGGCAAATGAATAAGTCAAACTAAATAAACTAAAGCGATGTTTGTTTAGAGCTGAATGGGCTTAATGGTATGAGGAGCTTATTCGCCCAACCACAGATAAGTGTTTGTTAACGTCTTCATCATTAAGACATTGCCAAAAATGGCTGAATCAGATTAGCCAAACTGCATTGTGTTGTCACCATTCAGCCAATCATTTTTCCTTTTTACCCTTCCTTTCTACCATGTGCATACCACCTCTATCAACAAGAAAAAAACTTCGGCCAAAAAAAGTCAAGAGCTCCTCCTCTGCCTCGTCGTCCTCTGTTCATCCATCGATCTGCCCCTCCATTGCTGCTGTTCATCCGTCGATCTAGAATTTTTTGGGTGAGGGATATCGGTGGTTAAGAAAATTATGGAGATGATTTGAAAATTTACGATATTTTGTTGTGAAACTGTTGAATCCGAGTCCATTGATCATATGTTCTTTAGAATCAGTTTTGATGGATAGTTGATAAATACGGCATTTTTTTATTTTGGGGATTTCAGTTTTGAAGGACAGATACAGAACTGTTCATCATGATGATATGTGTTGTTTATCGTGAGGATTCAGTTTGAATGGAAAGTTGATGTGTATACGATATTGATTTCTTTGCTCAAGGGTCAAACACCTTGAAAGAGGAGTAAAATGGTCCTTTGTTGTTGTTCAAACCATTTATTCAGCATAGAAAATAAACAAGTTATCTTAATCCATATAGACAGCTTAAGCCATACAGATAGCTTAATACATAGAGGGATTAACAGATATGAAAAAACAGCCCTAAAACAATTATACACTAATGATCCATACAAGTTTATAGAAAGGATGCAATCACAACATGTGGAATAGTGATTGCTAAATGGAGACATTATCAAAAATAAAGAAGCTAAAATGGGAAGGACAGAAATAGTAAGAAAGAAACAATGGGAGAACAAGATCCGTAGTAGGGGAAACGGGAGACCAAAAGACATGACTGCTCAATATGGCATATACATTGGAACTCTTATCTCTAGCCTTAACTAAAAACCGTCTACACTATAGTGGAATGAAACGGCTGTTCAAACCTTTAAGCTGGCAATGGAAACTAACCCTCCAGTCTGGCAAAGTAACTATAGCTTTCCATCCCACAAAACATGATCTGAATAACTCTTAACTCCATAAATATTATTTATTTCTGATTTCATTGATGCAGATTGTTTGATCGTCTCATCTGACTTTTGAAGCTTATATATGAAACAAAAAGTTTGGCAGCTGGTTTACTTTTTAAGTTCTGACACAGATTAGGGGTCTTAAGACCAATGGAGGTATAGAACTTCCAAATGTGGCAGTTGAAATGAAAATGATATGAATAGAAAATATGATCTATATTAATGTACATGAGCACAGAACAACTTTCCTGATGTGAAAGTCCTTCATAAGATAATCACAACAGCAGTAACCCACAGTTGTATTGGGTAGCGAGTCCGTGAAGGTTAAATAAGAGTTATGTTAAGCAAGCAGAGTAGTCAAGCACATAACCTTCAAGGAATAGAACCTTGAAAAATTACCTACCGTGTTTGAACCAACAAACGATATAGCTTTAACGTCTTCATCATCACAAATAGCATTCACAATGTCCTGCCTCAAAATAATAAAGTAAGTATCAGATTCCTGTCAAACGTTAGCAGCAAGGCACCAATGGTGTTGTATGGGTCGAAAGAACCAGAGTAGTTGAAAAAAGCAACAAAGTGGATTAATTCAAAATCTCATGTGTGCTTACATTTGATTCTCTTATAAAATTTAAACTAGCGAAATTCGATATAAAAAATCCCTGAATGGACTTCAGTGTGATAACAGCAAATAACTAAGATATGACTAAGCAATGATAAACATACATGGGTTCCATGTACAACATTCAAAACGCCGCTGGGTAAACCGGCTTCCATTGCCAGTTCTGCAAGTATCATAGAAGCCCCTAAAATGGCACAAAATTGAATGGAAATATCAGAATAAAAATAAAAATTAGAAAAAATAAAATTTTGTGAATGTTCCATTGCTTGGTGATAAATCATGTCAACAAGGAGGTGATCCATATGAAATATAATATGATCATACCAACAGGAAGATTTAAAAAGGGAAAACAGGAGAGGGAGAGAGAGAGATACATGGTTATAGTTAGATCCTAGTTTTCGATTAAAAGTAATAATAAAGTTCAATACTGATGAGAACTAAAATTTGTATTCATTAGCGAAGTAAGAAGAATAGAAGCTCATGAGAGAAGCTGAAGATAACAAATTCTAGGACATCAAGGACAATCAGGAACCAAAAACGTGGACAAGATAGAGACTTGATGTCATCCTTTACTTTGAGAGACCATATTCTCCAGAAATTTCTAGTGCTTCTTAAACACATTGACCTCAGACATAAACTAGTTTGTGACTAAAAGTCTGCATAAACAAATTGCCTCTATGTATAATTGAAGTACTTTTGGGTAATTTATTTAACCATTCTTGTGATAACTGATAATATAATCCTTCCATTTAAACAAATCAAAGCTTTCATCACTCACCAAAAAAAATACAAAATGGGAAGACTAAGCTCCCTCGGTAAGTATTGAGGGATATACAACACGAATACCTTTTAGGTCAAGATTCTTTGCATTATGTATATGTGATGATATTGTGTTTTATGGTGTCAAAGATCATCATTTTTTAAATAGAGAAGACAATGACCTGGATCTTTCTCTGATGGCTTTAGAACGAAAGTGTTACCACAAGTAACAGCAACTGGAAACATCTGCATAGAAGATAAAATGGAAGAGTCAAGATGAGTTCGTGTTTCTGACAGGGAAGAAATGATATTTAGAAAACAAACCAATCAAATGAAGCTTTTTATAACATGTGTTACTGAAGCACTGATCTAGGATATGATAAGATATCATAGTGATTCGGCACATCAGATTAGATTGGTTGAGATTCTGAGGTCCTGTGTGAACTCTGCTCAGCATCTTTACGAATTGATATATCTTTATGAATTGCTAAGCCACTTTAAGCTTGTATAAAAATGAAAGAAGAATTTTTTACTTTTCAAGTTTATGAGTCTCCCTCCTTTTCTCCCTCCCAAGCTGCCTATTTCTCTTGCATGATTCCTATTTATTTTCTTATCCTTTTGAAAATGACATGTTACCCTAATAGCATATGAAACTAGGAATGGATACATGTATAAAATCATCATCAGAAAGATCCACCGAAAATATATGTGAGTGTGTAATTGCACAAAAGAAAAGAGAGAGTATGGAAAGACGATTGGCAACCATACCCACAAAGGAATCATGGCCGGGAAATTGAAGGGGCATATGCCAGCACAAACGCCAAGCGGCTCTCTAATGCTGTAGGTATCAATTCCATGAGATACATTTGAAGCAAATTCACCCAATTGTAAACTTGCCATTCCACAAGCATGTTCCACCACCTCTTTAAGAAAAGCATAACAATGATTTCAAAATTTTGGTTTACATGTTACCTCGTATGCATTAACCATGAATGGACCTACCTAGTCCACGGAACACATCACCCTGTGCATCCTTCAATGTCTTTCCTTGCTCTGTAGTAATGCTAATGGCAAGCTTGTCCTGAGACAAGTATAGCAATGACATGATCAACCACGTAGTAGGTAAAAGAACATTGATGCAACCAAAACATATCCATGCTTACCATGTCTCTGCGAATAAGTTCTTGAAGCTTTAACATAACACGTTGTCGGGTGGTAATCGGTGTATTTCGCCACGATGGAAAAGCCTGTTTGGCTGCAGACACTGCAGACTTGAACTCCTCATTTTTCGTCAAGGGTATTTGAGAAACAACTTGTTGTGTCGCCTAACTCAACAGCAGTAGTTAATTAGACAGCAAGGGCCAAAATTCACGAACATATATATACAAACAAGAAAGAAACACAGAAAAGGAAGGAAAGATTTTCAACACATGGACTTACTGGGTTTATGACATCGATAAATTCAGATGATTGCGAGTTTACAAAACTCCCTCCAACTAGGTTTGGTACTCTCTGACACAATTAAACCAGTTAGTTTAGTCCACTGTTACAGTATAATAGCATGCTAATAACAAAAACAATTATGGGCTCATGGTTATCATGATAACTGAAACAGATATGCATGCCTTCACATTAAAATCTCCAGATGCACATCAAAACTATAGAAGCCTAATCATAAGTGAATAAGCTACTAAAAAAGAAACCCATAATCCTAGCCACGTTGAATCACGGCTTACTTGATCAGACTGTTCACATCCATCCATTGGCGAAAAACAAACTAAGTCGCGTTCAGAAACGCCCAAGTTTGAATTTTGAAAGCCTGAACTGGTCCTTACTCAAATTCAAAAATTAAAATGATGTCCGATCTTTTAGCACAAGTTTTTCACATGTACTACTTCTCATACATCTTAATTCAATCTTAATCTAGTTAGAAACTTCTACTCAGAAACCAAAAAATCCAAATCAATTTTATAAGTACGCAGGTAGTCCATTAACACTCAAAATGAACTTACTTTTTCTTGATTAAGATACTAAACCTGAAAGTTATTCCACATTTTAGATTTTAACTTTACTTCCTGTCTCAAGAGACTGCACAAAATGGATATTCAGTCAACATCAGTAAAACACACAGACACAGACAGAAAACAGAACATACCGGAGGATCGCTATGTCTCAAAGACTGCTCAGTAGCGGTAGATTGATTACAACTTTTTATGGCAAATATTTGAGGACTCAAAGTTCTCACTGTTACATAATCATTCGATAAACAGGAGTGAGTAAAAACGCATACATAACAAAAGCTAGACTAGGGATTTTAACAAAATCAGTCAATAAACAGGAAAAAACAAAGCGTACCTCGCCGGATTGGTAATCGCAACATCGTTTAGCGATGGACAAAGAGAATCTGCAGAGATGGATGAGAACCGTGACGACGACGATGATGATGATCCTTTATTGGTAGAGAGTAATCTCGTGGGGTGTTTATTGGCAGCAAGTCTAGTAAAGATGATGCCATTTTGACATTTTTTCAGATTAAACTTAGGGGTAAAAATGGTAAATCCTTGGAAATTTTAATGAAATAATTAGATAATCGCATGATGCAGTGAAATAAATCTTGATTTTAATGTTTCATTTTATATTTTGAATCTATCAAAATTATGATGTTATGTGGTTCTGAGAAAAAAAATATTTTTATTTTTGAATTAAATATATATATTTGAAAATATCATAAAATTTTAAAAAAATAAACAATATTAGTATTAAATTAACTATTTAAAAGTTTTTGTTTTTATGTAATTTTTTTGATTCAAATTTTTATTATAATTTAATTGAAATTTAAAAATGAATTAATTTATATTTGATTTAATAATATAATTTTTATAAATATAATAATTAATTATTTTGTTAGAACTCAATAATTATCTTAATTATATTTTAGATTTTTTATATTTTAAAATGAGATGTTTATCATTTATTTGATTATGTTTATCTGTAATTAGTTACATGAACTCAAATAGAGCTTTAATAAGTTGTACTTAAACATAATTTACTTGTAATCTTGAATTTTAAGTAATATACATTAATAAACAATACTTCATACATAAAAAACGGTTTTTAAGAGTTTTTGTCAAATGATTTATAATATAATATAGATATAATTATAATTAAATATTTTTTATTATAACTTAATGCCATTTTGAGTTTTTTTTAATTCCAAATGATTGTTCAAAACCTTTCTAAAATGGAGAAAGTAATAGAGAGAATGTAGAAATCTTCATATTTAGAGAACATCTGAAAATAATTACAATGAAAGAGAAATATTATTTAATATATTTTCACCCGTCGAAAACTTTAAGAATAAATATTTAGAGAGAAATAATATTTTATTAAATGAAAAAACATTCTAATAATATAATTAATATTGTAATCTTTAAAATGGAGATTTTTGTTTTTAGAGATTATGACCTTTTTTTGTTTGCTCGTATTACGAAATTAACTTGAGAATAATCTCCGCTTTCGGTAACGATTATGACAACTATTTCATTTCATATAATCCTAACCGCTCATCTTAAATGCGTGAATAATTCCACATTAAATGAAAATTATTACTAGAATAAAGTAACGGGTGGATAATTAGACATCAGTTACGAAATAACCGTTTGTAGATAAACGTCGAATACAGATCATAAGACAACTCAGAAGACAACAACTCCCTTAAGCCTCGTCATAAGGCGTCATCCAGTGATCCTTAGTTCTAGTTAAGCTTGCACGTATGTGGACTCCACACTCCTAGCTTGTGTAATAGTTTAACCAACACCACATATTCTTTTGTGAATTCAATTCATAAAATAGACCCATTTTCACTAAAACAATAGGCCACATTTAGGTGCCGTTTACCAAGCGTTTACCTGAGTCATTTTACTTTATTGAATGAATATGATAAGGATTAAGAATCTTACCCAGTAAAAACGAAAGCAAGAATCGAAAGTCTTACCCGGTAAGTGAGGACGAGGACTCTTACAATGGTTAGCGTTTACCGGGATAAATTATTGTATACGATGCGTTTTAGTGAATAAAAAATCTTACCCGATAAGTAAGCGATGGTGTTGAATTTTACGGTAAATGTTAATTGCTTAAAAATGGATTGTTGAAAAGCGTTTACGTTTAATTGCTTCTCAATGAAAAATTAATACAAGACTAACAATCTATTTTATACAATAGCCTTCAAACCAAAATCTTTAGGCCTTTCCCATCTTCTAAAAAGGAAAATAATCCATATCTGTACACTTGACTAACCAACCTTCATAATGCAAATGGGCTAAAAGGTACATTAACGATCGGCATCTTTGACATCGTTACGTTCCCGGTGATAACACTGGGTGCCACCGTATCCTCCACCGTAACACGATCAACTTCCACCACTTTCTCCGGCAATATCTTCTCCCCATCCACCTTTCCCAACACCTCGTAACGCATCACCACGCTCTCCGGCTTTGTTCTCCACTCCGGATACCCCTCCCACAACGATTCATTGCCTGTCACCTTCTTCTCCACCTCGAAACCGAACTTAAGAAATGTTTGAGCCGATATCTCCGTTCTCAATACCTTAAACGAACCATTATTGCTTCCCATTGAGTCCAAAACTGCGGAAAGCAGTGTCTCTAGACCACGCAAGTTTGAGTTCGAGCCATTGATCGATGCAACCGGCCAGAATGTGGTTAAGCGATCTGGAGTGAGGAGGGTAGGGACGTCCCCTTGAAGATCAATGGTGGAAAGTGCGGTTTTCGAGTTTTGCTTTGAAGCCGAGGATAATTCTACTAAGCCAGGAGCAAGGCGTTTCAGCTTTAGCTTGTTGAAAGCGGGCGATGGCGTGGCAGGGGAATTCAGTGACGTCGGGCCTACGATACGGAGAGAAACGAGTTGGCGTTGGGTACGACAGGCATGTCGGAGGTGGTTGCCTAAGGTTAGAAGACCAGAAGCATCACCATTTTCTGTTTTGTTAAAAGGAAGCGGGAGTTCAATTGGGTGTCGTAAAGTGACGGATTTGGCACCCTTCACGGTCACAACGGCACCATCCGCTAGCATCACCTTCTTCAGCTCGCCAGCATCAACATCATGCTGGTAACATACATACAACGGTATTCCATAAAAATGAAATCCAAATGTCATCACACAATTAGGTTTCAACACATCAAATCAAGAGCAAAACTTACAGGCAAGAACAGCCTCATGTCTTTGGCGTCCTGAATCCAGAGCTCCATTGGACCTGCAAGTTGGAAGGGAGCCAAAGTAGGCAACCCTTTTCCTGAATCACGTTTCTTCTCAACCAATCCATTTTCATGAGATGATATCACCTGATCATCCATTACGAAAGTAGGCAAATCTACGTATTCCCAATTATTTACATCCTCCAACAGTTTTATTGGAAGAATTTTGTTATCAATTTCAAGATCAAACTCCATTGATCGACCAACTAAGGCACCCTTCAAATCAAACCCAGATAATTTAACATCGTCTGATTGAAACCCTGATGATTTAAGAATAGTTTCCTTCAAATCCTGAAACATAAACCAAAGTAAAAGTTCAGAAAACCAAAAGCAACAAAATCTTTATATAATAGAGCAACCGACAGTAAAACGCCAAAATCTCAATTTTAGCAATTTATGTGTTTTTGCAGAGCCTCGATCAATTTCTCTACGTAAATAACTACATAGTTGGACAACTTAGATTAATGTATGCAGAGCAAATGGAGAGGATCCTGATTGAAATCCAAAACAGTTTGAGAAATTTTGAGGAAACAGCGGATCGTTATATCAAATTATAATCAATATATATCTCCATTAACAATTTAACAGGCTTCCTTTAAAGATCGAGATAGAAATACACTTCATCTTTACAATCAAGCAGAAAACTGAATCAATTTCAAGAAATTGGCTACGAATCTGAGAGAATTACTTACAGATACGGCTTTAGGATAGAGCCGATTAATATCTGGCTTGTAGTTTAGAGCTTTTGAACCTGAAACTTGTATCATCAAAGCGAACAAACACACATAACCTGCGAAATTCAAAACCCTAACAGCCATCGTCACGTAACTTCCAACAAAGAAGAGGATGATTCAAAGTTTTAACATCAAACAAGAGATTTGATTTGAATTTCTTCTCCGGGTTTTGAGATTTTAAACTTAAAGGTTCAGAGCCAAAACGGTGAAAGGAGATGATTCTAGAGAGCGAATGGATGATGCAAATATCACACGTAGGTGGATATGATTGGTCCACGTTGGATTTGTTGACGTGGAAGCCGATCATGTGATTTAAGTCTGGGGAAAATTTCTGTTTAACGTCGTCGTATTATCGCAGTGAAGGCGTGATTCTAAAACTGGGCTATTTTCAAATGAACACCACTGACCCAATGGGCCATTGGCTAAATAGAACTCGATTCAAAATCTATATTTATACTATATAACAAAGTATTTGACAAAAACTCTTAAAGAAACATTTTTTATGCATAGAGTACTGTATATTGATGTATATTACTTAAAATTCAAGATTACAAGTAAATTATGCATAAATACAACTTATTAAAGCTCCATATTTGAATTCGTATAACTAACTGCGGAGTAACATAATTAAATAAAGGATAAACATCTCAATTTAAAATATAAAAAGAATTAAAATATAATTAAGATAATTATCGAGTTATAATAGAATCATTATCTTTATAAATTTTTTATTGTTAAGCCAGAAATAAATTACTTCATTATTTGACATAAATTAAATTATAATAAAAAATAAATTATATAAATTATATAAAAAAACAAGAACTTTGAAATAGTTAATTTGATATTAATATCGATATATATATTAAAAAATTATGATGTCTTCAAATTTATTTTTATTCAAAAGTAAAAACATTATCTTTCTCAAAACTACATAAACCGTATTATATTAACAAAGACAAAAAATAAAATGAAACATTAAAATGAATATGTATCTAGCTGTATTGTGCGAGTACCTTCTAGTTTATCTATACTATATTATAAAGCATTTGATAAAAACTCTTAAAAACCATTATTTATGCATGAAGTACTGTTTATTAATGTATATTACTTAAAATTTAAGATTACAAGTAATTGTGCATAAGTACAACTTATTAAAGCTCAATTTTTGAATTCGTATAATTAATTGTAGATAAACATAATCAAATATAGGATAAATATCTTATTTTAAATATAAAAAATCTAAAATATAATTAGGATAATCATTGAGTTCTAACAGAATCATTATCTTTATAAAAATTATATTATTAAGCCAAAAACAAATTACTTCGCTGTTAGACCTAAATTAGATTATAATAAAAATTTGAATTAAAGAAATTGTACAAAAAACACAAACTTTTAAATAGTTAATTTGATATTAATATCGATATATTTTTTCAAATTTTTATTATACCTTCAAATTTATTTTTATTCAAAAGTAAAAATATTATCTTTCTCAAAACTATATAAACCGTATTATATAACATAGACAAAAAAATAAAACGAAACACTAAAATAAAGATATATCTCACTACATTGCGCGAGTATCCTTATAGTTAATTGTAAATGAAATATAACAAGATGGAGGAGTTGATTAATAAATTAAGGGGGTGTTTGGGATTGTTTATTTGAAACAATTTATACTTTTCTACAAAAATGTTTGTCAACTTATTATAAGTTAGAATGATTTAACTTCTTTAAAAACTTGTTATTACCGGTTTGGCACCAGTATAAGCTGTTTATTCAAACACTCAAAAGTGTTTATCATCGGTGCCACATCGAAATAAGTCAATAAGTTGTTTTTATAAGCAATCCCAAACATCCCATAAAATAGTATAATCTGTTATCTGGTTTAATTGAAATAATAAAAAGATAATCGAAAACCCTGAAGTATTTAATTTGGAAATTGAAAAACCCGAAGTCATTTTGATTTGGATGAGTTATTTAGCTTCATAAATTTTTATACCTTTAAATGTACTCCCAATCACCTAAATTTTTGGATCCACCGCTGTGTTTATATATGTTTTCAGTATTTAATTAAAATATATAATGCATGCATTGTATTTACTGTTTTAAGATTGTTAAGCATGCCAAATGTATTTTGATATACTAGAAGAGTACTCGCGCAATGCAACGAGACACATCTCGGTTTTAATGTTCTATTTTATTATTTGTCTGTGTCGATGTTATAATACGATTTTATGTGTTTTAAGAAAGCATTAATGATTTTATTTTTGAATATAATATAAATTGGAATATATCATAAAAATTTGAAAAAAAAAATATATCAATGTTAATATCAAATCAACTATTTAAAAGTTCTCATTTTTATGTAATTTCTTTAATTTATTTTTTATTATAATTTAATTTAAGTTTAATAACGAAATAATTTATTTTTGGTTTAATAATATAAACATTTTAATAGATAATAATTAAGTATTCTGTTAGAACTCAATGATTATCCTAATTATATTTTAGATTTTTTATATTTAAAATGATATGTTTATCCTGTATTTGATTATGTTTATCTGCAGTTAGTTCAACGAATTCATATATGGAGCTTTAATAAGTTGTACTTATGCGCAATCTACTTGTAATCTTGAGTTTTAAGTAAAAAGCATTAATAAACAGTACTTTACGCATAAAAAGTGGGTTTTAAGAGTTTTTGTCAAATGCTTTATAATATAGTATAGATATATAAATCGATTTTTTACATAGAATTTTTTTGGGAATTCTTTTTAAAGAATACAAAAATGTTATTCTAATACACTTTAAAATACACAAAGAAAGAGAGAAAGAGATGAAAGTAGGATGAAAAACTGAAATCGAATACAAGCCGAAATCACGAATTATAGCGAGAGTTGTAAATGTTTTTTGTGTTTGTAAGTTGGTATTTTCTCCCGTACACCATATGACTTATATATGACCGTTACAACGTCTATAAAAAGACGGTAACATGTTTTGGAAAAATCGGGCTGGTCCTGAGCCTAACAGGTCCCAAACCGGTCCGGGTTCAGGGCTTGTTTTTAGATGAAAAGTATAACCGGTCCTTAACCGGCAGTCCCATATCGATCCCAAATCGGTCCCGATCTTGGTCCTCCGAGGTCATGGGCTGGACCGGACCCATTTGATCATCTCTGGTGATAAATATGGATCAAATTGTGGTACGTAAGCCCAAACTTATACTCGCTGATATATTGGGCCCAACTGATTTAAGAAACCTTCTATTAACACGCATGTTCTTAAATATGGATCAAATTGTTGTATGCAATGCAAGTACAATTTCATTTTCGACCAATCCTTGAAACGATCACGAATGGTCTGTTGTCATCGCAGATGAACCTTCATGGCTATAAGGATTTTGGCAGGACCTGGATTCGAACCCAGGATAGTTGAGATTTTCTACAACATCCCCCCAACGCTTAACCAATGCGCCACAACCTAAGTGGTTTGGTTATTTAAACTTAGGGGTCGTTTATTAAATACTTATCCGGTAAGTGCTTATCAATAAAATTTAACACTATTATTTACTTACTGAGTAAGATTTTAGTCCACCAAAACGATATCACATGAAACAATTTACCCAGTAAGAGTCGTCACTCTCACTTACCGGGTAAGACTCTTGGTCCTTGTCTCGCTCTCTCTAGGTAAGATTCTTGGTATTTACCATATTCATCCGGTGAGGTAACGTGACTTGGTAAGCACTTACCCGAGTAAGCACTTGGTAAACGGCCCCTTAGATAACATGTATTTGAGTATAAGTAGTTGATGCATGAACATTTTGGAAAAGATTCAAAAGTTATACGAGCATGTTTCAACTAAATTATACATGTTGGTTATACTGAATCAACGCTCTTTTATTTAGTCTAAATAATCAGACTAACATTTTACTGTTTTTGTAATAAGAACTTAAACAGTTAACTTATAGCAAAAATATGCAATTGCTATAACAATCGTGTAGACATACTACCAAGGGTGGGCATGGCACCCCAGGATTTGCGAAGACAAACGACTCGTTTTACTCCATATATTTCCGTATAAAAGTATGTTATGCGTCAAAATGATTTCAAGAGTTTGTGGGTTCACGTGTGCGAATAGTCGATAATAAGTAATAATGTTAATTATTCGGTTATTATTATATTAAAGTTTGCTAAAAAAGTTATGCAAATTGATATATTATTCGTACAATATTTTCAATGAATTGTTTTGTGTGAATCTGTAATTAAAGTAATATAAAAATGTGATGACATGTCTACTTATTTTGTCAAAATATATATTTTATCTAATGGATTTCATGTGAAACGTAATTCAACGAGTGTTTGAAAACTTTTATATGATTATTAATATACTAGTTTTGTGCCCGTGTAATGTAGTGGGAGCCGTAAATTGTAACGATTTTGAAGTTTCATTGGTTTTATTAGAGAATATTTAACGATGATATAAATTACACTTAGTCTTTAAATATTGATACAATTTGAATAAATAAAAGTTATAGTTTCAATTATAGTCCATTGATGAAAAGAATTGTATGGCAATTTAAAATCCAATATAATTAAAATCTAACATATTTAAACGACTCGACAAATGTGTTCGATTTACACCAAGAGCAAAGAATCAAGAGAACGAGAGCGAGACCGAGAGTTCTAGAGTAATTGAATGAGAGAACTTTTAGTAACTCATGGTGAATATCAGTTTGAATCTCACATTAGGGGATGGGGAGAAGACATAGATGTATGAGAGGGGGAAGACATGAGTGAAAGATGTCAAAAGTATCTTGGAAACATAAAAAAGAAAAGACAATAATGTGCATTGATAACTTGTAGTTGTACTATATGTATTTTAATTGTAGATTAAGAGATTTTAAGACTGAATGCATAAAGTAATAGTACTTACTGCATTATGAGTTGTTTTTAAGACTTTTAAGACTTTGTGCATAAATATATAGTACTTTATGCATTAAAATTATTTTTAATAGTTTTAATAAATATGGTTTATAAGATAGTATTATTAATATATTAGTAATTTTAATAATGTAATTTTTATAATTATATTTAGATTGCTTATAAAATAAAATAAAATGTAAGCTGTCTATTTTTTTATGCTACTTGTCC